TTGAGCCAAAAGTCAAACGTAAAACTTGGAAAAACCCAGTTGACGCCACCTACACAAGCTCACTTCTCCTACAAAACAAAACTTCAAGGAAAAACATGCTCGACTGCTCAGAGAAGACCTAGACCTGTCGTCCCGGACATACAGTAAGCACGTCAAACATGCGCTTTGGCAAAAAGGCATCCCGCAGACGTGTCTATGCACAGATTTTCACACGAAAGGTGAATTCGAGAAGCTTGTTTCATTCCTGCGCGGGCCGTCCGGCTTGGGGTCGTTGGGGAAGACGGAGAAGACACAGCCTGCAACCTCTGCAGCAAGCCTACAGCTGCAGGGTTTGTAGGCTCCTTGGCAAGCCTGCAGACCTTGCAGCAGCCTGCAGGCCAGCAGGGCCTGCGGGGCCTGCAGCAAGCCTGCAGACCCCTGCAGCAAGCCTGCAGACCCAGATTCTGCAGGTTCAAACTGGGTTAAACCCGAACTAATGAAGGGTGTAAGTGACCCAGGTTGAATCCAGGTTGAACCTGGGTCTGGGCTGAACCTGGATTTAATCTGGGTTCAACCCAGGTTCAACCGGGTTGAACCCAGGTTGAACTCAGGTCAAATTTGCAACCAAAGTCTGATCAAAGTTTGATCTGATCATTTTCGGACGTTGGAAACACGTTCAGAGATAGGATGGTTTTGGGGGGGGCTTTGCCTCGTGGAGAATTTTCGCGCAGCGACGCGCGATGCCGCGAGGTTTTGGGGGGGACCAGACGAGCGAGAAGCAGCGGGTTTTGGAGAGGACTGTGCTTCTATGAAACTTTTCGCACAGAAGAAACAGCGGGTTTGTGGGGGGTCTGTGCTTCCATGAGAGTTTTTGCACATACACGCAGCGGGGTTTGGGGCCGAGTTTGCTTCTATGAGACTTTTCGCACACGGAGAAGCAGCGGGGTTTTCGCTTTCCAGAGCCCGCGAAGGGCTTGGGGGGACGGCCCTTCTATGGGGCTACGCTCGGGGGTTTAGGCTCGTGCTTGTGTGACGAACCTTGCTTGTTTGACAGCTCCTGCTTGTGTGACAAACGTTTGCCCCAGGCTCTGCCCAGAGATGCGCGTGTTTGTTTGCACGCACTCCTGCGCGTTTGGCTCGGTCTGGAGGTCGTGAGGGGATATTTTTTTTTCGCCGAGATTTGCCCAGGCCCTACTTTCGAGGCGGATGTGGGGGAGACGCGCACTTGCTGTGTCTGCGAGAAGGCGGGTCCGTGTGCTTTCTTGCGAGCCTTGGCCGCCACAAACTTCGCTGTAGGAGGAGAAGAAGGCCTACGGGGTGACGAAGCGCCTTCTCAAGGCGGCACGCCGTCTCGGCGTGAAGCGAAAGTCCGGAGCTCACTCTGTGTGTCTGTCTACTTCGGGCACGGACCAAACACCCATGCTTGCGAGGTCGGGGAATGCTTTGAGGAAGGGAGACAAAGTTTGCAACTCCCACCGCACCAAGCTCTCCCGGTACGTGGCGCCGAAATGTTTGTGCTGCCCTTGTTCCGTGTGACTTTGGACATGGACTTGCGAGCCAGGCAAAGGACAAGGGCATCTCCTCTTCGTCCAGCTCTTCCCAGGCGCTCCACGGACTGGGTGGTGTTTGGGCCCGATGCTTCTTGTGCACTCGGCAGGTCCGACGCGCGCTTGCGCGTCTTGGAGGCTTTGCGGGCGGGTGTTGAGGAGCTGGGAGCGCTTAAAAGTAGCATCGGTGGCTTTGGGGCTACTGCCTGAGCTTTAGCGTGCACCTTGCCTGTTGGCTTCTTCTCTACTCCGACTGCCGCTGTCTGCGCAGACAAATCGAAGTGCGAGGGGGGTGGGGGGGCTTCGGACACTTCTTGCACGGTCTTGCATCCCATGGCCGTTTGCGTTGCTGGGCTTGAAGAGAGCGACGTTGAGCTCGTAGTGAGACGGCCAGGCGTTGCCAGTAGAGACTCCGTGCAGCGAAGTAGCGAAGCTATTCGAAAATCAGACTTCTTTAAGAACAGAGAGAGGGGGTTTCTTCTAAAAAAAATCCACCCCCCTGAAACCTTGTTGTTTTTTGGTGTGATTATTCGAGGCCAGAGAAGTGCGACTCTAAACAGTAATTTATCTTGAAGATGAGAGAGAAGGGATCTATTCTACACCCCACCTTTCTCGAATCTTCTTATGTTTTTTGGATTTCATTTTTTGAAACCTGCGAAGCCCTTTAAGAAGAGAACCTTCGAGCCCGTATCCAACAAGCGACTCTCAGTCCCGAATCGTCTTCGCTAGGCCAGGCCTTACAGAGTGGGATCCTGCATCTCAAAAATCTCACGCTGAATGTGAGGCTGAACATGCGTGCAAACGCCTGAGCAGAGTTGGCTGGTTGGTAGAGAGGTTGTTTGCTTGGAGCAGCACGTCAGGTCATGCTCTTCCTTGGCAAAGTCTGCTCAAGAATGCAGGCAGGCGCCACAAACACAGCAAAAACCAACAACTTGACTCGTGCCCGTGTTTAACCTGAGTTTGAGGCATCCTTCATGTCTTCAAATTTGTAACTTGCCAGCATCAAGTGGCGCTCCCGCCGTCCGAATGCTGTGCTTACCACTTCAGCTGCAGCAAGAAGGCCAAGTCGTACCCAAGCCTCATGACATCACACATGTGGTTCACATGTGGTTCCCGTGGTCGATTGGTGAGCAAGGCGTCCCAGCTCTTTCGTCAACCGCTCGCCAGGCATGTCCGGAGGTGTGTTGCTGCGAACTTGCTACCAGTCCATGACTTGCTGCGGTGACAGTGCCGTTCGGATCCAGGAGTTGGCGTCACGTCTGGGTCGTGTACTGCGATCATTGCTCACACTGCAAGCTGGGGCCTCCCGGGCACCTTTGGCGGAGCAGAAGTGTAGTAACGACAAGATGCGTGCGGGGTGCTGGGATGTCCTCGCTTGACCAATGTGTGTTAGTGAGCTGCAGCGCTTGCGCAGGCAGAGACCAAGGATCCCTTTGCCAAGGCATCGCGTCAGGGCAAGGTTTCGCAGCCCTCCCCCGTTTGGCGTGTGACAGATATCGCAGGGGGACTGTGACATGTTTCGTATAGACGCATGGTGTCGAGCGTCTGGTAGATTTCTGGCTCGTTTATCTTGAAGATGCGAGAGGCGGGGCTTCCGGAGGCTCTTACCGGGGAGGGTTTGGGGCCCCCCGTTTAGCGTGTGACGACTTTCGCAGGGGGACTGTAGGTCTGGGGAACTGTGCTTGCATGACGACTTTCCAGAGCTCGAAGGAAGGTTTGGAGGGGATATCCGACTGTCTTCCCGCGTTGCCAGCTGTTTGTCTGCGCTTGAGAAAAATTTCGGCCGCTGCGCGGGGCTGCGTTTCGGTCGGCTACGAATCGTGGGGAATTTCTTGGTCCCTGCGGTTGTCCCGGACTGGGCAGGGGGTTGTTCCCTGCCTTCGGGCAGTGCTGGTCTGCTGGACAATGCTGCCGGTCGAGCGATCACGAGGCGGCGCTCTTTTTGGGCTGGGGCGCATTTGACGTGTCTGGGGTGTTGAACTTTTCAGGACTCTTCACACGACCCTGGAGCCTCCTCGTGGCCGTTGTCGACTGCCTCTTTTCGGTGCCTTTGGCGACTGGCGAGGACTGCGGAGGCCGTGCTGCCTGCTGCGTGCTTTCTTATTTGGGAAGTCGAACTTCTCAATTCTCTTCCCATGACCCCGGAGCCTCCTTGTGGCCAGGTCCTTCACGCGTCGTCGACTGCCTCCTCTTCGGTGCCTTTGGCGACTGGCGAGGACTTCACGCGTCGTCGACTGCCTCCTCTTCGGTGCCTTTGGCGACTGGCGAGGACTGCGGAGGCCGTGCTGCCTGCTGCGTGCGTTCTTCGCAGTCTCCCAAACCCCGTTCTCCACGCAGGCTCGGAGACGACACGCCGAACTTCGTGCGCTGAGTGCGATGCAATCTGCGCCGACGGGCATGACTGCCTTGCCTGCTCAATAGTACCTAGGACCTGGGCTTCGCAGTTCGGCCGTGCTCGCGACCATAGCATCTTCTTGATTTCGAAGGTTTCTTGCCGCTGATGTGCTCGGGGCGCGTTGAGAAACATGTTGTGCATGCTGTGGCCTTGACATGGCAGACAACAACCTTGTTCTGGATTTCGCCGCCTTGTTTCTGCGTGTCATGCGAGAATGTCCCTTGCAGCCGGGCCTGCTGAGACTGCTCTGGCCCCATTCCCTTACCTGTGATCGCTTCCCCATGCCGAAGCGAGGTCGTCAGCAGCTTCCTCCCGCCTCGCAGATGCGGCCGCTGTCCGGCGACCGTGTGCTGCGCGTGGAAAAGCACTGGCTGGATCTAATCCTGCGCGGCGAGAAGACGGCCGAAGTTCGGCGTGGCAAGGTCGCGCCGGGTGGCTGCTGGCTGGGCTACAAGGGCCGCGTCTACGCGTGGATGGAGCTTGGTTCGGCTCGCCAGATCTGCACGCTGGCTGATTTCGCGGCTGCGGAACCCTGGCACCGAGTCTTGTCTGCGCAACGGCTGCCTTATGGCGACCACACGCATCTGTGGCCTCTGCTCTGCGTTTCTGGTGAAGACGGGCCCGGTCACCTGGCTTCGTTTCGAGGACCTCCCCGCCACTGCTGCACCTCCCGGTGCCCACGCGGCCGCGGCGGAGCCGGCGTCCGTGCCCTCGAAACGTCCTCGGTGGCGCGCTGGCGTTCTGCGTGCAGGTCAGTGAGCCGTGCTTGTGACGGCGTTTCTTGCTCTCTGCTGCTCTGGAGCGGCGCTGCTGTTACTTCTGAGGCTCGGGAAGTTTGGCTGTCCGAGCCGCGCTGCCTCTTGTGATGCGCTGAACTTCGCGCTTTCTTTATTTCTGGAAAAAAGGTGCGACCCTGCACTGTCCGCTGCTGCATGCTTGCACGTCTCTCATGCATGGTTGAGTCTGAGGAGCCGAATCTAGCCCTGCATAGCTTCCTGTCTCCTGCAAGCCTTCCGGCTCCTTTTGTAGATTTTCGATTTTGGATTCTTGGACTGTCGAGCGTTGCCCACCTGCAAGCCATGGTCTCGCCGGTCAGCTTCGACGTCTTCTCTCGCTGCGCACGTGCTTTTCTGCTGCCGGCCGACCTCTTGCCCTACCTTCTGGCTGCGCGAGCCATCGACCGCGCCGACCCTTCGGTGTCCGCGCTCGCTGTCGAGGCTCGTGTTCGTGAGAGATTGCACGGCTGGCTGCTGCCGCTGGTGCAGCAAGGCATGGTCTGCCCCTTCGCTAACTCCGAGGTGCGACGTCCTCACGTGGCCTGGGTGCCGTTTGTGCGCGACCTGCCAGACGCCGCGCGCCGCCTCTGGAACTGCTTCGCAGGCGAGATCGACGACCTTTCCGAGTTCGCCTTCCATGTTGGTGTGCGGCGCACGGAGATCCTGGCATATCTCAATCGCGCTCATCCCGTTGCGGCCGCCCTCCGTGAGATCCTGCCCTATGCGCGCGACCTTCTTTGCTTGCTCCAGGTGAGCCCTTTCGACGACCGCCGGCCTCTCTCGGTGCCCGAGGTCGATCTTGCAGGACGCGTTCTGCGGTCGTCCACGTGCAGTCACGAGCGCATGGTCTTCTTCATGGTGCATCTCTGCTTCGAGGGCTATCACGTGGTGCTGAGCTTCGCGGAGGAGTCGCCTGCCTTGCATCCTGCCGACGAGGCTGGGACGGTTGCCCCAAGTGTCGACTGCATGCTTGCGCGCATCCCCTGGCGCCCTGAGGCCGCTGGCGGTGTTGCGCCATCCCGGTCCGCCTCCTTTGCCATGCATGCGCGCTTTCGGGGCCCTTTCGATGTTGACGACTTGTCTAACTAGGGCGTCCCCGACGTTCACATGACGCCTGTGGCGCGTCCTGGCATTTCCAGGCGGCCGCGAGGATCGCGTGGGTTGCAGTCAAAAAAAAGGACCGCCTCTTCGTGTCTACTTGAGCTGTGGCCGCTAGTCGCTCGTCGTGTTTTTGCGGGAGGCGGCGGCTTCGATTGCTTGCTGCATGTGGCCGGCGAGCTCTGGCATGGCGGAGTCGTAGTCGTAGTCGTAGTCGTAGTCGTAGTCGTAGTCGTAGCAGTAGTCGTCGGAGTAGTCTAGTAGTAGTCTAGTAGTAGTCTCGTAGTAGTCTCGTAGTAGTCTCGTAGTAGTCTCGTAGTCGTCTAGTAGTCGTCTAGTAGTCGTCTCGTAGTCGTCTCGTAGTCGTCTCGTAGTCGTCTCGTAGTCGTCTCGTAGTCGCCTCGTAGTCGTCTCGTAGTCGTCTCGTAGTCGTCTCGTAGTCGTCTCGTAGTAGTCTCGTGGTAGTCTCGTGGTAGTCTCGTAGTAGTCTCGTAGTCGTCTCGTAGTCGTCTCGTAGTCGTCTCGTAGTCGTCTCGTAGTCGTCTCGTAGCCGCCTCGTAGCCGCCTCGTAGTCGCCTCGTAGTCGCCTCGTAGCCGTCTCGTAGTCGTCTCGTAGTCGTCTCGTAGAAGTCTCGTAGTAGTCTCGTAGTAGTCTCGTAGTAGTCTCGTAGTAGTCTCGTAGTAGTCTCGTAGTAGTCTCGTAGTAGTCTCGTGGTAGTCTCGTAGTAGTCTCGTAGTAGTCTCGTAGTAGTCTCGTAGTATAGTCTCGTAGTAGTCTCGTAGTAGTCTCGTAGTCGTCTCGTAGTAGTCTCGTAGTAGTCTCGTAGTAGTCTCGTCGTAGTACTCGTCGTAGTAGTAGTAGTAGTAGTAGTAGTAGTAGTAGTAGTAGTAGTAGTAGTAGTAGTAGTAGTAGTAGTAGTAGTAGTAGTAGTAGTAGTAGTATATAGTAGTAGTAGTAGTAGTAGTAGTAGTAGTAGTAGTAGTAGTAGTAGTAGTAGTAGTAGTAGTAGTAGTAGTAGTAGTAGTATTAGTAGTAGTAGTAGTAGTAGTAGTAGTAGTAGTAGTAGTAGTAGTAGTAGTAGTAGTAGTAGTAGTAGTAGTAGTAGTAGTAGTAGTAGTATAGTAGTAGTAGTAGTAGTAGTAGTAGTAGTAGTAGTAGTAGTAGTAGTAGTAGTAGTAGTAAGTAGTAGTAGTAGTAGTAGTAGTAGTAGTAGTAGTAGTAGTAGTAGTAGTAGTAGTAGTAGTAGTAGTAGTAGTAGTAGTAGTAGTAGTAGTAGTAGTAGTAGTAGTAGTAGTAGTAGTAGTAGTAGTAGTAGCCGCACTAGAGCAACCAGCCTCAGGCCGAACACTAGAGCCAGCAACAGGCCCTGCCTTCGCAGAAGCTTAAGGATTCTGCCTTTGCCTGAGCCATTTTGCCATTGGAGCTACGAGTCGACTCTGCTGTGAACCGCCGGGTCCCAATTCCCGGGCCTCACGCACACCGACAACAACGAGTTTGCAGAGGTAAGCGGTAGGGTTTCCACTGCTCCGCGAGGTGGAAGGAGTACCCTCTTTAGTGACTTCATCATCTATGTTTCTGGAGGGGAAAAACAAGCGGATGGCGAGCCGAACGCGCCTCAGTACATTTCTCCTGCCTACACTTTTCCATTTACAAAAGGTTCTGCAGCATACAGACATCCTTGGAGTAGCGCAACATTGGTCGACTTCAGAGCCTGGTTGCTATGCAAGAAGTATCAGTGCTGAGGCCTGTTTTTGTGCTTCGAGCAGCTTCCCAGGGATGATGCACTCAGAGATCACTGCAATCCTTTTCTGTGCAGTTTATGCGAAGTGGCAGCTTCTTCTCCGAGACACTCATGCTCAAAAGCCGCTTCGCAGACAAGTACGTGACTGGCCACGACACGCCCCCTCCCCCCCCCCCTCCCCCCCCCAGTTCGAGCTACAGCCCAGTCACGTATTGCTTTGGATACTGTTGAAAGGGATTGCAGCGCAGCTGACATGCTGCTTGCTCCGGGGAAAACGTCAAACGTTGGTGAGGATGAGAAGTCTCCGATCAGGTTGTACGGACTTGCAACACAGCTGCCAAACACAAAGCTATCCAACGGCCTTCAGCACGACGTAATCCTCCCAATGCTGGCCCCGCTGAGCACCCTGATGTCTTTCGATGCACATGGGGTGCCCTTGTGGCCCCAGACGGGGCGCCGGGCCGGTCTTGTCTACAGGACAAGGTGCAGGTTGGGACACTGCAACCACAGTTCTGAAGTACGACCAGCTACATGCGCAGGGCTGCTTGAGGGTGATGCTGGCCCCAACATGTCACCAACGCCTTGTCTTGCAGCGGGGTGCGAGAGCCGGGACTCGCTCTTGAGGCGAGGAGCAGGTTCGGTTCGCCCTCTAGCAGTTTCTGCACTATGGTACGGCTCCACGACACGGCTGGGCACAGACTTTCTGATGAGCGATATGCCGCTGCCGCAACACAGTTGTGAGCGTCCAATGACACAGTCCTTCACGGCCTTTACTGGCTGAACGTCTTACGGCCCTCAGTTACCCAGTGTGGGACGCCGCTAGACGGGAACTCAGGGTGTCGGCCCATCCGGCCCACCGGCACCAGTGCGTGAGTATCGGACGCGATGACTCACATTTAGGGTGACGGAGACAGTCAAAAAGCGAGTGAGTCTGAGCTGGGCCTTAGGCAGTTTCAGTTATCATTTGAAGCCGATTTGCGAGCCTGATGTTTCTACAGCTTTGTACAGCCAGCTCAAGCAGGCCTCATTTTAAACTCTATTCCTTGTAGGCATTTCCTTTCCCTTCTCTGAGGCATCGGCAAGTCTGATTCCAAGGATGCGCTTGCCTTGTGTTCTTTTCTTGTTATCGTATGTTCGTGGCAGAGGTAGCAGCCTGGGCCTAGGAGCTTTAGGTTCGTCCATTGCTCTTCAAAGGGATGAGGTAGGTAGCTGCGATTATCGCAGTGCAGTCCCCCCGCGCCCGCTCCAACGCCTAAGTACGTGTTGGGTCTTGTTGCTTGTGTGTTGGTAGTTTTCTTCGGTGGTCTTGTTTGGCTTGTTTAGTCCTTGGCTAGGCGGGTCCAAAGGACGGAGCTGGCAACGGCACGTTTCAATGGGCTTTTAGCTAATGGTCAAGGCACGTCCGAAGGGCGGAGCTGGCCGGGGCAAGCCAAGGGCATGGCGCCTCCCGAAGTTTCAGAATCGCCCGCTATGAGCAGAGCCCGCTCGGTCAGCGTTCAATAATAGTAGTAGTAGTAGTAGTAGTAGTAGTAGTAGTAGTAGTAGTAGTAGTAGTAGTAGTAGTAGTAGTAGTAGTAGTAGTAGTAGTAGTAGTAGTAGTAGTAGTAGTAGTAGTAGTAGCAGTAGTAGTAGGAGTAATCGTCGTAGTCGTAGTCGTCGTAGTCGTAGTCGTCGTAGTCGTAGTCGTAGTCGTAGTCGTAGTCGTAGGAGTTGTAGGGGTAGTGGCGTGGTCGTGGTCGTGGTCGTGGTCGTGGTCGTGGTGGTGGTCGTGTTCGTTGTCGTAGTATTCGTAGGTAGAGCAGCACTAGCGTCAAAAGTTGTAGTAGTAGAAGCTGGCAGCGTGAAAAATGATTGATTTCTCACTGGTCCCCAGCTCGAATGCAAGGACAGAAGCCTTTGCAGATTTGCAGCAAGCAATTTTTCTGGCGTGCTTTTGCCGCACAGTGCGCATCAGATGCTTGAGAGCATCCACGTTGAATAGCAGTAGGGGTTTGTCCACAGTACAATCAAGTAGTGCACCAACTGGATGTTTTTTTTGAAGAGATGCCATGCCTCATCGTTCACGATCAGGAGCTTCAGAGCTTTCCAATCACCTCTACCGGTGACATAGAAAAGGTTTGAGCGACCTCGGCGTCGGTTGGGTTCAAGGACGAAAAAATATCAAAGTTTTTCCATCTTGCAGTCAAACCACATGCGCGGAGCGTCGAATCGTTGGTGAGATGTCATCCTGCAGCCGTAACAATGATACAAAACAGCAGAAGATCTTTGTACGGAAACGGTAGTTTACACATGACTCTTTTTTCTTCCCTTTCAACTGCTTGTGGAAGGACTGTTTCATTCTTCTTCTCGTGTACTGAGAAGACATAGGACGTCATTCGACGCATCGTTGCCGAACATCTTCAACAGATGTGACTAGGGCAAAAGTCTGAGACAATCTATCATCTGCGAGTTTCGGAGTTTCTACTGCAGGGCCATCTTCATTCATCATTTGTTTCATGACAACCATGTAGCGAGCAAAATTGAAGGCCCCCACATAAGCAAGGACACCACACAGCAACAGGTGCCCACAGAATGCCTGGCCGGAACTCTCTGCCCTTACATGCCTTGTCGGAAGATTGACACAGCTCCTTGCACGCAAGACCTTTTTGCAGAGGAACCGAACCATGGAACCTCAGCCCTGCGTGTTACAAATGCACCCTGACGATTTACATGGCTATTATTTCGGGCACGGAGAGACTTGCTGGCTGTTGCCGTCGCAACGACGCAAGACGACCACGTGTTGACATGGGTGTGATCACGTGAAATTTTCCGAGGCAACGCGTCGACTGAAGGCGGATGCTAAAGAAAGGAAACTGAGCCTTCGATTGAAAAAACTTTCGCAAAACAAATTGAATCGCATCCTGGAAGACTGATGCGATGGTAAATATTTTGATTTTTTTTTAAAAGTGTTGTCGGTTTATGATACATTCTATTACTTAGCTAGCGAGCAGACACGTCACAAATGAGCATTGCAGCTAAAATTTTGATGTAGTGCAACCGCGGCTTCACGAAATCAATGGAGAGGGCCTGGACAAAAACTTGGTTGGTCATGCGCGAGCAATTCCAGCATCTATGTGGACTATGGCTTTTGATGAAGTGCAGCGACATATTCACTCAACGGGAATGACGTATTGCGGGCATCTATGGCGCGATTGCAAGTTGCTGAGGCTTTTAAGAGTCACCCATGTGCGCTCACAATGTCGGCTTGCA